AAATGCATAGGACTATGGTGGTGGCACACGGGTGATTTGGTGATGGGAAACCCGCGGGGATTACAATCGAGATGGAAAAAAAAAATGTGCAAAATGATGTAAAAATAAACTTTTGTAATAATTAAAAAAAAATCCTGCTGAATTTAGATTGGAATTGCATTCCAATCAATTTGTTCAATTTGGGTAAAACTGACATCTTTGTAACATGGGTCTTCTAAACCATAACCATGACTTCTCTTTCCATTTATTTTGGGCTTCATGAATTTCTCCAGGTAACAGCTGTCCTTGTTAGAATAGACTTCTTTTGTTAGAGTTTGTCCCTTGGTACGTTATCTTTCTTGGTGTGCTACAATTGGTATTTAAATTTTTTTTTCAGTTTCAAACTATTTGCTGCGGGGTATATAGTTATAATTATATATCAGAATTCAGTTGAACTTTGCCTATTAAATTTTTAACCTGTTAAATATGCTAAATTCATTTTTACTTCTGGTAGTTGTCATAGATCCTCTTGGATTTTTTTACATAAACAGTCATATCGTCTGCAAATAAGCAGCTTGACTTTCTAATCTTTATGCCTTTTATTTACTTTTCATGTCTTACTGAAAGGTTGTGCTGTCCAGAACAATACTAAGAGGAAATTATAAGAACTGACATCTTTATCTTACTCTGAATCTCAGGAGGATATAATTTAGTCTTCCAGGTTAAAAATTATAATTTTTTTAAAAGATTTTTTTTATTTATGCATACAAGAACTGGGGTACAAGCCAGCAGTACAGGGGTATATTGACAATGTACACTGCAGAGGGGAGCAGCAGGCCAGACAGAAGTCTGCCATGCCATGTGGATCACCACCCTGGCCTGTGATCTAACTGGTGCTGAAGCGGCTGTGACTGGCTTCATAGTGCTGCACTTTAACCTGTTGTGCCACCACGGAGGCACAAAATGTTCCTTGTCAGTTTGAGGACGTTCTTATTTATACCTCGTTTGCTAAGAGTTTTTAATCGAGTGGGTATTGATTTTTGTCAAATATTTCCTACATCTGTTGAAAGGATCATACTACTTTTTTTTTTAAAGATTTATTTTATTTATGCAAGCAAGACTGGGGTACAGGCCAGAGGTGCCGGGTGTGTTTATGTATAAGAGAAAGAGTGAGAGAGAAGATTTACTAGAGACAGAGAGGACCTGAGCAGGCAGACCAGCTAAAACACACTGCTGAGGGAGCTGGAGAGGTCTGCTGCATCATGTGGGCAAGGGACCCCTCCCTGGCCAGGGCTCAAACCCTCACACGCTGGCTGTGGACAACTTCACGGTGCTGTGCTTTAATCCCCTGCGCCATCAGGGAGGGCTCAGATCATACTACTTTATTGCATTTTAACCGTGTATTTCTTCTATCATGAATGAGACTGAACATCTCTTTCTGGGTTTAAGGCCAATTTGGCCCTTCTATGACTTCTGGATTAATATCCCGCAAAGTTATTAGCATTTCCTTTTTATTTTCTAAGAGTTGCTTATATAATGAAGATCTTTTATCCATGATATAGGTCTACCTCTGTTTCCAAGTTCCTTTATAAATTCCTTGTATTTGTAAACATTTTGCTGGCAAAAAAAATTGGGAAACATTACAAAAATTTCCGGTATTTTCTTGGCAGGTTCAGGGCCCAGCACCCATGACCTTGGGTGGAACCTTCATTCACCCCTCTCTGGGGCTGAGTGTGCACCTTTGTCTTGATTCTAGTCCCTTTTGTTCATTCTTAAATGCCACATCATCATCACACTGGCACTGTCAGGAGCATAGAAATTCAGTGTCCTTCCTGAAGGTTGGGCAGCCTCTGTTCTGGGATCAGGGGCTAGAGTACACATTTGCATTCCTTTCTGTTGAAGCCACCCAGGAAGTGAAAGAAAAAATACTATTCGAAGCCCAGCCGTGCAGCACTTCCTGCCACAAGTGTGCTGTGCTCCCACTGAGACCCACCCCACTCTCCTCCGTCCACCAGACCCAGCCGGCTCCTCCAACAGCTCTCATTGTCGGTGTGCTTGCACCACGCCCTCCTCAGGAACACTGGCCTCGGCCTGGACTATATCCTCTATTGTGGCCCGGTTCTCTCTGGCTAATCCCACCCATCATTGGATTTGAATATCCTCCAGGAAGGCCTCCCAGGCCCAGTGTCTCCCCTGGCCATCTGGCCCTGATTGCCAGCGAAGCAGTCAGTGGGTGGTAACTTGTCTATTGTCATCTGTCCACTAGACCTTCAGCTTCACCAGCGGAGAAGAGTGTGCTCTGTCCTCCGTTGGGCCCTCAGTGCCTTCCACAGTGCCCAATAAGTATCTCTGGGTGATTGAGTTAATTAAAGTCCACACTATAAATGCCCAAGCCATTTTTGTGCCAGGACTTGGGATTAGAGATGAAAGAGACCTCTAAAATCTATCCCCAAAGCTCTACTTCCTGTGTTTGTGTCCAACTAAGGACACGGGCTCTGGTGTTTCCTGGCCATTGCCTTGGCCTCCAGACTCCTCCATGCATGATAGCCTCAGAGATGTTAAAAAAAAAATCAGGATCCCCCCAGGTGGCTCAAGCGTTTGTTAAAATGCAGCACTATGAAGCTATCCATAGCCACTGCAGCACGAATTCAATCCCTAGCCAGGGAGGTGACACACATGGCACAACAGACCTTTCCTGTCTCTCCTACTGCTCCCCTCAGCAGTGGGGAGCTTGTTCTGCTCCCCACTCTGTCTCTGGTGAATCCTCCCCACCCCCCTGCACCTCAGGCCTGTACCCCCGTTCTTGTATGCATAAATAAATAAATGCTTTCTAAAAAAATCAGTCAGACCCCCTGTGATCCAGCCTCAGCTGACCACCTGCCAGCCCTTCCCTCGGGATTCCTCCTTCTGCTCTGGCTACTCTGGACTCAAACTGCTCCACTCACACCCCCTTGGGACCATCACCTGTGCCATGTTCTCCACCAGGAGTGCACTTTCTTTATCTGCTTTTGATCCCAGCTCGATGGATGGATGGATAGATGTGGCCTCTGCGCATGGGACACCATAGTTGTGCCTGTTCCACCACCATTGTGGTTTCCTTTGCAGCCCCAAATTATGAATTGCCTGCCTGCAGGAACAGAGCCCAAGGCAGGTCTGTTCTGCATGGTTTAGTGTGTTCTAGGGCTGGGCTGGGCCACATTGCACAGAAGAGAGTCACTAGCTCTCCCAGGGTCTCAAGTGAGGGATTCCTTGAAGGAAATTTGAGCAAGGACAACTTCCTGCTTCTTCCCTGGGCAGAACAGCCCAGGTCCCTTCTTTTCACTGGGGGCCCAACCCACACATGTTACACATAGGTTAACTGAGGCCCTGAGAACTGGTGTTGCCAAGGCCCCACAGAGAGTGGGTGGGGAGCCTGCTGACACCCGCCATGTGACCTGGAACTTCACTTAAGTTGGGGTCTCCAGCCGCCTGTTTGAGCAGGGCCATGGCTCTTGAGGCTTCCGGAACCTTCGGCCCCTCCCCGGCTGGGCCCTCTCGTGACCCCACCCCTGTCCCTGTCCCTGCACTGCCATGACTTTCGGTAAGTGTCAGCGACTCAGGAAGTCGAGGGGCCCCGCACAGGAAGGAGCCAGTGGGACTTTCTTCCTGCCGCTGCCCTGCCCTCCCCTCCTGTTATCGGCCCAGGGTCCGCATCAGTCAGGTAAGAGCCGGTGATGACGCCACGTGGCTTGGTGGGCACAGCGATGGGGAAGGTGGCAGTGTGGCTGGGGTGCTGAGCCGGGTGAGGGACGTTTGCCTTTCAGACCTTTTTTCCGAGGAAAGCGTCAGACAGACTAGAGCTGGGAGGCCGTGGCTGAGGCCTCAGCTTTGTCTTAGATAAGATGAGGCTTCCACTGCGCGTGCACCGGAGCTCCTGCCGGCCCCTGGCCAGAGAGAAGGAGGACCAGACGGATGTGTGTTAAAACAAGGGTATTTTTCTGGGCCCCAACACCACCGCTAGCTTTTCCTTTTTTCTTAAATAATCGTTAAGATTTATTTTTCTTTTTAAAGATTTATTGTAAACTGAAGATGTGCTCTGTCTTTTCCTTTATATACGGTGCAAAATCAAGTCAGTGTCAGAAATAACACTGTGAGGAGAGGCAGGACCCCCAGCGCCTGGGGTTGGAAGCATTGTAGAGCCTGGTCTGGGAGCTGGGACAAGAGGTATTCTGGGCCCCACCCCACTCCAGCCCACCCCACATACACACACTTCCTGACACACAGGACCAGCGTACACCGCAGTGCCAAGGAACTTTCCTGTCTGGCTTAGCTGACGTTTGTCCAGCACCCACTGGCCGGTCACCAATGCACTCATGGCTCCAGCTTGAATGTGTTGACTCTCGGCTGGGGGGGGGGGTCCTGCAAACCTTACGTGAGGCACACAGGGAGTCAGCCCATTTCACACCTGAGAATGCTGAAGTCCAGCAGCAGAAGCCAGCCTATGGTGGGGCTGAAGTTTGAACCCAGTGTCCAGGGTCATCACCCATCCCCAGACTTACAGTATTCCCATGTGTATTGAGACCTCACTGATGTCCAGCTTCACACCCCGGCTATTATTTTGGAGCAAACTTTTTACACAATGTTCTTTGTATCTTCTTCATTCAGGTCAATTCAAATGGGTTTTGATCATCTTCCCCTCCCCCATTTCCTCATGGGGTTCCTAGGACAATCCTTTGTCTCACCCAGCCAGGGGTCCCGGGATCCCCCAGAACAAGAGAAAGACGGAGTTTGGCAGGTGTGGAACCCCTGGAAATAAGGAGGATGCTGTCCTATATGGAAGTGCAAGGGCAGACTGCATGGCAAGAGTGATGCAGGGGCAGAGGTGGGAGGGTGGAGGCAGAAACCTGTTGGCTGAGCTGGCAGACTGGATGTGCCCACAGACACATATCATACCAGGTGCAAGTTTCTAGCCCCAGTCCTAGAAATGTTTGAGCCCCCCGATCCACAGGGAGTGACAGGGATCCCTATTCCCTTAAGTTCTCATGTACACAAGCCAGTACCCATGTACTTCCTGGACAGATTTGTACATTTGAGACCGATTGATCACACCTACTGGAGACAAGGATTGTATTGGGGTTTTGAGTCAATGCTGCAGAGTGACTGGGGATGTCTGCCCTGGGTCTTGACAAGAATCTAGGATGTGTATGAACAGACAATGGGGTGCAGAATATCTCCCAGTTCCCAGTACAGCTCTAGGCTGGGGGGTTATAGCTCTGACTCACCTTGATGTTCAGTATTCTTTGTTTCCTCTCTCTCACTCCCCTTCCCCACCTGCCCTGCCCCCTCCCCTTCCTGCCTTTCCAGGTCCAACCCTACCTCACCCAGCAGCACCCAGGAGGATCTGTGACCTTCTCTCCTCTAGCCAGAACTGAGGGCTACCCCTTTTTATATCCAGGCAGACTGCAATCATGGCACCTCCGAATGAGGAGACACCCCTGATATCTCAACGCTCCTGCAGCCTCTCATCTTCAGAGGCTGGCACACTACATGTGCTGCTGCCTTCTCGGGGTCCTGGGCCCCCAAAGTGTCTATCCTTCTCCTTTGGGGACCACTCAGCTGAAGAGTTATGTGTTCGGGCTGCAAAGGCCAGTGGTGAGTGGTCCTTAGAAGCTAGGCCAGTATTGAGGGAGGCCTGTACTGAGTGGGAGCTGGAATTACTGGCCAGTGAAGTCAGCACTGGAGTTGGGGTTTTGAAGGATGAGTAGGAGTTTGGTAAAGGAGGAGGGTGCATGGGGAACTGCCTGTGGAAAAACTCAAAGGTGTAATGGCACGTGAGGGAAGACAGTGGGTCATCCCTCCAGGTAAAGTGTACAGTGGAAGATGCTCTGAGGAGAGGGGTAAGGGCTCCCCCAGAAATAGGCTGAATGCATCACAACTCTCCTGAGGGCTGTGGGGAGCTCTGGAGTGTATATGAGCAGGGTTTGGACTCAGTATCATGGCTGAAAACGAGAAAGCCCTGTGGGACATTGTGGGGACAACCAAGGCACTCTGCAGGGGCAAGATGGGAGACTTGGATGGGAACTGAAGGGGTGTTTCCTCAGGCATCCTGCCCGTGTACCACTCTCTCTTTGCCCTGGCCACGGAGGACCTGTCCTGCTGGTTTCCGCCAAGCCACATCTTCTCCGTGGAGGACTCGGGCACCCAGGTCCTTGTCTACAGGCTCCGGTAGGAAGCCCCTCCCTGTGGGCTCCCGCAGGTGTGGGCTAAATACCAGGACGGTATGCTTTTTGCCAAGGGCTGAGGAAACTGGTGAATAAAACCACAGTGATCCCCACAATCTTATCATCTCCTTGGGCCTCCTGGTGGGTGTCTCGGGGAGGATATGATCACTGCCCATTTCACAGATGAGGAAACTGAGCCCACAGGGTGGGTGATTTGCCTAAGCTACACAGCAGATCGGTGGCCCACTCTGGGCTCTGTGAGGTCTTGGTAGTCTTCCGCTTACCCCAGGCGCCCCGTTACTGCCGAGGCCAGTGGCTCCCTCACTCACAGCCCCCTCCTTTTCCTCAGATTTTACTTCCCCAACTGGTATGGGCTGGAGAAGTGCCACCGCTTTGGGCTACGGAAGGACTTGGCCAGCGCCATCCTTGACCTGCCGGTCCTAGAACACCTCTTCGCCCAGGTGGGGGGTCTGTGTGGGGCTCTGTGCAGGGTTGGGGGTCCAAAGGGCAACACTGGGGCTCCCACTTGGGTGGTCTTGGCTACCCTTCCCTGTGGCAGCCCAGGCTGGTGGAGCCAGCCGAGGGCTGGGCTCCATGGCAACATCAGGGCTGACGGTGGGCTGTGACTGGCCCACAGCACCGCACCGACGTGGTGAGCGGCCGTCTCTCCGTGGGCCTCAGCCTCAAGGAGCAGGGCGAGTGTCTCAGTCTTGCGGTGCTAGACCTTGCCCGGATGGCCTGCGAGCAGGCCCAGCAGCCCCGAGACCTGCTGAAGACCATCAGGTGAGGGCTTCCAGGTGACGGCAGCTAGCCTCTATCTGGAAGTGAGCAAGTGTTACACTGCCAGGACATCACCTGAGCCTGGGTCCCCCATGGGTGTCCCACTACAAGCCTGAAGTATGTCCTTGTTGACCCAGGCTCCCCCACCTTAGCTCCAGTCCCCCACTGGAGGGAAAGTCCTGTCTCCTGTGTAGAGGCCTAAGTGTCCCTCTGTCTGTCCTGAGAACCCTCGAAGCCCTGGCCCCAGATGTCCCTATGGGTGCTCACATACAGATCACACTCCAGCCCCTGTCTGTCCCTGAGGAGACCCTCTCCCACACTGAGGGTCCACGCCCCCACACGCAGCTACAAGGTCTGTCTGCCCCCTGGCTTGCGGGACCTGATCCAAGGCCTGAGCTTCGTCACGCGGAAGCGTATCCGGAGGACAGTTCTACGTGCCCTGAAACGCGTGGCTGCCTGCCAGGCAGACAGGCACTCACTCATGGCCAAGTACATCATTGACCTGGAGCGGTTGGATCCAGCCAGGGCCACTGAGACCTTCTGCGTGGGCCTCCCTGGGGCTGCGGGGGTTCAGGATGTGCAGGGGCTGCTCCGAGTGTCTGGAGTCAGTGGCATTTCCTGGAGCCCTGGAGGACAGGAGGTGAGGGAAGCTCCTGCGGCAGGGGCGGGGCCAGAGAGGAATGCCAAGGGCAGAGCCCAGGAGGGCAGGGTGATGGAGGGGAGACACTGTGAGAAGATTCAGGGTGGGGTGGGAATGAAGAACGGGTGGGGGGCCCTCCCTGGAGGTGCAAGGGGAGTAAGGAGTTTATGAAACTGTCCGCAGCCACTGCAGGGCTGAGTTCCATCCCTGGGCAGGGAGCTGACCCCCATGGCATAGCAGACCTCTCCTGCCTCGCCCACTGCTCCCCTCAGCAGTGTATTTTAGTCCATCTGCCTATTCTGCTCCCCATTTTGTGTCTGGTGAATCCTCTCACACACATACCCCACCTCTGGCTTGCACGTTCTTGTATGCATAAATAAATACATCTCTGCGGGGCAGAGATGGCAGGGACTTGTTGGATAGGTGGGGCTTGGGGCAGGGTTAATACTAGGGGAGGGAAGAGGCGAGACTAGCAGAGGGGCTGGACTTGGTGACCAGGCAGGTTTTGGCAGAGAAATATGAAGATGGGCAGGGAGGGGTGGGGCCCATAGAAAAGTTGGGGGCATGGCATGGTGGTGTTGGGAGGAAGGGGTGAGGCAGGCTGGGGGGCTGGCAGGAGATAGTTGGCGGGGTCCTAACATCTCTGAGGGGGCGGGAGCCCCCACCTCAGTCTTCTACTCCTACCCAGGTCCTCCAGCCCTTCTGCGACTTCCCAGAAATTGTGGATGTCAGCATCAAGCAGGCCCAGCATGCAGGTCTGACCGGGGAGCATCGTCTGGTCACCATCACCAGGACAGACAACCAGATCCTGGTGGGTGCTGGACGCCCTCCTCTCCCACTTTACCCTGATGGGGAGGACACGGCTGGACCCTGCCTTCAGTCCACAGTGGGCCCTGACTCAGGTCCTTGCAGGAGGCCGAGTTCCCAGGGCTGCCCGAGGCCTTATCCTTCGTGGCACTCGTGGACGGCTACTTCCGACTGACCACCGACTCCCTGCACTACTTCTGCAAGGAAGTGGCCCCGCCGAGGCTGCTGGAGGAGGTAGCCGAGCAATGCCACGGCCCCATCACGTAAGGACTGCCCCCCCACGCCCCCCACCTCTGTGGCCAGCACTCCCTGTTCTCACTTCTCCGGACCAGACAAAGGGCCAAGTGTCGAACAGCACCTGGCGCACAGTTATTGCTCCCCGAGGCTCCGTCACCCCTTCTTTCTCTCTGCACCTGGAAGGGGGTGGGGGCCGGGGCTATTTCCTGGGGATGGATGGGGTGTTGATTTGAAACCTTGTTTAATTCCCCAGCAGAGGCCCTGGCTTTCGGCTCATGTTATAAACGGGGGTCAGGGAGTAGGGTATTCTATGGAGAGCTTCCTAGGGCTTCAGAGAGACCTGAACTGGAGCCCAGTTCCACCTAGGTGTCTCTGACTTTCTGTCTTGGCTTCTTTGTTCCCGCCCACCTGCCCCCCCCCCCCCAGACTGGATTTTGCTATCCACAAGCTCAAGACTGGGGGCTCACTTCCAGGTTCCTACCTTCTCCGCCGAAGCCCCCAGGATTTTGACAGCTTCCTCCTCACTGTCTGCGTCCAGGTTGGCTCATCACCGGCAATGTGGGGGAAGCCTTTCAGGGGGAGGGAACAGTGCATGCAAAGGCCTGGAGACTGGAGGTGTGGGGGTGAGGGGGGGGCGGCGATCCAGGGAGTGAGGGAGCGAGTGCTGTCCGCCATCACTCAGGGACCACATCTCCTTGCAGACACCCCTGGGACCTGATTACAAGGGATGCCTCATCCAGCGTCACCCAACGGGCACCTTCGCCCTGGCTGGTATTGGCCACGCTCACAGCAGTCTTCGAGCACTCCTGGCAGCCTGCTGGGATGGTGGGCTGCATGTGGATGGGGTTGCACTCAACCTCACCTTCTGCTGCACCCCAAGACCCAAAGGTGAACCTCTCCCATCTGTCACAGCCATGTTGTGATGAGTGGCAGGAACTGCAGCTGGAGGTGGACCTGCTGACTAATGGGATAGTGTTGCCTTCAGACACAGCTAGATCCAGGCACCACTGGACTGTGTGATGTTACTGGCACTTTGTCTCCAGCTCTTGCCCTTTCTTCTGAGTGAATTTCAGTAATGGACAAACCGCAGATGGGACAAGTCTGCACTCACACCTGGCCAGACTGCTCAGATCTGGTTGCTCACAGCCTTACGTGCTCACTGGGCTGGGCCGTGGCAGGTCTCCTCTCTCTCATTTCCCGGCCCACTCGAACTTCCTGGTTGGTGTCTGTTTTCAGATAAGCCGTGTGCCCTTTCATCTTCCCCTCAGGGTTGTCTGGGAGTTCTGAGGGAGAAGCAAACTCAGATAGGGAGTGAGCAAAACTTGGAGGACCTTTCACTTCTGACCTCTGATTTTGTCCCCCCTGCCCGCGCCCCCCCACAGAAAAGTCCAACCTGATTGTGGTCCGGAGAGATTGCAGTTTGCCCACGTCATCCCCCACTCAGCCCCAATCCCAGTGCCAGCTGAGTCAGATGACTTTTCACAAGATTCCCACCGACAGCCTGGAGTGGGTGAGGGCGCCGTAGGAGATGGGGGTGACATAGGTTGGGATCTAGAGGTGGGGTCTGTTTTGGCTCCTGCTGTGTGGCCTTAGGCACATGATATGGTCTCCATGTGCCTCTATTTCCCTGTCTGCAAAATGGGGCCAGGGCTCATCCTGAGGCCAGGATCCTGAGAGGGGCCTCTTACTGGCCTCTCTTGTTGGCCCCTCGCCCTCCAGCATGAGAACCTGGGTCATGGATCCTTTACCAAGATTTACCGGGGCTGTCGTCACGAGACCGTGGATGGAGAGGCCCGGGACACGGAGGTGCTGCTCAAAGTGATGGATGCCAAGCATAAGAACTGCATGGAGGTGAGCAAGATGGAGACCAGGCCTTCGGGGCCAGGCTGTCTGGAGAGAAGGCCATGGATTCAGAGAAATTAAAAAAACACACGAGTTCTAAAAACAATGGGAATGTAGCCAGGGTAGCTCCAAACCTTGAAATACAAAAGGGTGTTTATGCAAACGGAAAGAGTACACCAGACAGAGGGAATAGCCAAGCAAAGGTCCTGAGGCAGGGCTGGGCCTGGCACATTGAGTAATGTTGAGGGGGCTGGGAGCTGGGGAGGAAAGAGCCTGGGAGAATAAAGGAGGAATGTGGGCAGAGCACGAGCTGACCTCAGGCCATGGAGGGAGGAGGAGGAGCCCTTCTCAAAGTCCCAGTCTCTCCTGTATGACACACTTGAGGTAGATTGCAGGGGGCACTTCTATCTCCTATTAGAAGATCATGCTACATAGTCTGTGTGTATTACCAGTAGATTCTAAAGCCAAAGGAGGCTTATGGGATAAAGATTTTCAGGCACAGCTGGATCCAAATGATGTGACCAGCATTTAGGCTAGGCTTGGGAGCAGGGATGTGAGCAGCAATGTGGGGTTCTTATTCTGACCATGGATAGGAGGACTCTTATATCGATTGTTTCTTTCTTCCTCCCACCCCTAAGTCATTCCTGGAAGCAGCGAGCCTGATGAGCCAAGTGTCATACCAGCACCTCGTATTGCTCCATGGCGTGTGCATGGCTGGAGACAGTGAGAGACACCCCCCTGCCCCTCCTTGCCACACTGGGCCCAGCTACAGTGGCGTCAGCAGTGTGCACCCGGAGCCCACCCTGGTGGGGGTCTTGTATCCTTGTATCCACCAAGGACCATCACTCTGCCCCCACGTCCCTTGATGGTCACGTCTTGAGCAGGAGCTACAGGCTCCTACCAATCCCCCAGTCCAAGGATTACCTTAAGTCAGCCAGACCTGTGCTCCAGTCTCACTTGCTGTGCCCCCCCCCCCCCCCCCCAGCTTCGCATGGGTCACATTACCCTTCGAGTCTCCTCTCATGTCCTGCTCACCAGCTGTGCAGCAGGATGAACCAGGAGCAGGCACACAGCATAGAACATGACAGAAAGGGGAGGGCGATAAGTGATCACGTGTGATGGGGGCAGGGGGAGCCCCTGCGTGGTCAGAGTCTCTAGCCTGGCCTGGGAGTCTGGTAGGGATCTGGGTAAGCAGAGATCAGTAGGAATTAGGGCAGAGGAGGACAATGTTCTGGGCAGAAGACACAGAATGTGCCAAGGGCTGGAGATGAGATAGCACCTTCCAGGCATTTCAGGCAAGGACAAAGCAACGCTGCCTCCCAGTGCTCCCTCTCCTGCTCCTCCCAGGTATTATGGTGCAGGAATTTGTACACCTGGGAGCCCTGGACACGTATCTGCGTAAGTGTGGCCCCCTGGTACCAGCCAGCTGGAAGCTGCAGGTGACCAAACAGCTGGCTTATGCCCTCAACTATCTGGTGAGTTCTCCTTCACCTGTTCTGTCCACCAGGTGAAAGGGGGGGGGGTCAACTGAGTGGGCAAGGTGGGCAGGTGGCATGCCAGTTCCAGAGGGAGGTTTGCAGAGAGCCCCTCTGTGTACCTGGCTGGCAGGGTTGGAGTGCATGGTGACTGTGATAGCATGATGGATGTGAGGGGAAGGCATTTAACAGCATGTGTCCAGGCTCAGAGGTGTGAGGACACAAGGGAACACTGTGGCTGTCTGGGGGGACATTGTGAGCCATGAGGCTGCACACAGGACAAGACTTCCCAGGGGCAGGAACTCTAGGGCTGGGGACTTAAAGTTGAGTAGTTCATTGAGAGGAGAAAGGGGGGAGAGCATGTCAGGTTGAGGGGACAGTCTGGCAAAGATCAGATGATTAGAAGCCATGTCCCATGTCCTGGGGTGCACCAGCTGGTCCAGTGGGCAGGGGACCAGGATGGGCACGCAGAAGCTTGTGGGGAGAATGAGTGAGAGTTGGATCTCAAAGGCGCTCCAATGCTAGCCTGAGGCTCTTTGACTTTATTGTAAAGGCAAGTGGGGGGGGGGTTGGGGTGGAAAAGAGGTGTGTGAGAAGGGGAGGGATGCAGTCAGGTTTCGAGGGGGTAGAGCAGAGAAGGGAAGACAGGATGCCGGGAATATAGGGAAAATGTTGGAGTACTGCCCACAAGCAGGACTAGTGGACTGTGAAGACTGTATAGGAGTTTGCCAGCCAGAATAGTCATTCATCAAACCCTTGGTGTTCCCATTTGTCTGATCCACTTAGGAAGATAAAGGCCTTCCCCATGGCAATGTCTCAGCCCGGAAGGTGCTACTGGCTCGCGAGGGGGGTGATGGGAGCCCACCTTTCATCAAGCTGAGTGACCCTGGTGTCAGCCCCACTGTGTTAAGCCTGGAGAGTAAGTGCTGCAGGGTAGAGGAAGGGGAGGGGCCTCACGGGGCAGGGCAGCAGCTCACTGACCCTACCCCTACCCCTCCAGTGCTCACTGACAGGATCCCCTGGGTGGCTCCTGAGTGTCTCCAGGAGGCCCGGACACTTGGCTTGGAAGCTGATAAGTGGGGCTTCGGTGCCACAGTATGGGAGGTGTTCAGTGGTGTCACAATGCCCGTCAGTACCCTGGATCCTGCCAAGGTCAGAATACCTGCCTGCCTTGAGAGCCCACACCTGAGAGAAGATGGACTGGAGTCTTCTTGGGGGTGGATGGGCAGGTCCAGCAGGGTCCTCTAAGGGTGCACTGAAAGTGCTATGCTCCTTCTCTTGCCCTCAGAAACTCCAGTTTTATGAGGAGCGACAACAACTGCCAGCCCCCAAGTGGACGGAGCTGGCCCTGCTGATCCAACAGTGCATGGCCTATGAGCCAGGCGTAAGGCCCTCCTTCCGTGCTGTAATCCGTGACCTCAACAGCCTCATCACTTCAGGTGCCTACAGGGTCAGGCAGGTGGCATGTCAGGCCCAGTTGGAGGTTTGCAGAAAGCCCCGCTGTGGGGTGGTCTGGGTCTACCTGACTGGCAAGATGGGTGTGTTTAGTGACTGTCACGCATGAACCAAGACAGCTGCCATAACAAACACATCCCTCAACTTGAGAATAAACGTGACTTAAGTTCCTGTTGGATCTGCAGACAAGAGCGAGATAGTGGAGGGTCCCTTGCGAGGTTTCCATGGGCCAGGCCTGAGGGGCACCCAGTGCATCGCCCCATCACCCCGAGCTCAGTCATGAGATCACATCTCATCGCAGCGGAGTCTGGGAAATGCCCTTCCATCTCCATAGCCCTGCGTGCTTGCACGGGGCGTGCACTGGACAGGGGGCTATGCCAGGAGGCATCTCCTTCCAGCCCCCACAAAGGGGCCACAAGGTCCTTTGGCTTGCACAGCGAAGGGAAGTATGTAGAGGGAGGCGAGACAACAAGTCAGCTCCGGAGTGGGGTCAATGCGCCGCTCACTCACCACCCATGCCCCCAGACTATGAGCTCCTCTCAGACCCCACACCTGGTGCCTTGGCACCCCGTGATGGGCTGTGGAATGGCGCCCAGCTCTACGCCTGCCAGGACCCTACCATCTATGAGGAGAGACACCTCAAGTACATCTCACAGCTGGGCAAGGTGAGGTGGACTGGACTGGGGAGGGCAGGGCGCTCCAGGTGCACAGTACCAGTCCTGCTGTCCTCTAGGGCAACTTCGGCAGTGTGGAACTGTGCCGCTACGACCCGCTGGGAGACAACACAGGCGCGCTGGTGGCCGTGAAGCAGCTGCAGCACAGCGGGCCAGAGCAGCAGAGGGACTTCCAGCGGGAGATCCAGATCCTCAAGGCCCTCCACAGCGACTTCATTGTCAAGTACCGGGGTGTCAGCTATGGCCCAGGTGAGCCACCTCCCCAGTGGGGACTCTTCAAGTCACAAGTCCTCACTGGTACGTGTGTGGTGGTCTGGGAACACCGTCAGTGACAGTCCTCATTCTCTTCTGTGTCCAGATTCAGACCTGTCATTGGTGTGAATCTCAGCGGTATCCCTTACTAGCTGGGTGACCTTACGCAGGTGACTTAACCTTGCTGAGTGTCAGTTTCCCTGGCTGAAAAACAGTTGTGAGGTTTAAGCAATCGATGTACAGTGAACCTTGACCAACATGGATTTGGCCCAGAAGGATCCACTTATATAATTTTTCCCTATCTGATATTCTGCTTTCACAGATTCAACCAACTTCTATTGTTGGTTAATTCTCCAGTGTGGGACCCATGGTATGGAGAGCTGGTATAGGCAGATTTTCTACTGCTTGGGGGTGGGTGCCCCTGGTCCTTCAGGGTCATTGTATATTGTAGAAAGTACTCAAGAGACATTAGCCGCAAGTGTCATTGCTGCTGTTTCTATTTTGCTGAAAGCAACACTAAGGTCCAGAGGGACCCAAGGTCCCATTCTAAGGGGACAGAGTGGGGTGGGGGAGTAGATAGAGTTGGCCCTGTGGCGACCCCGCCCCTGTCTCTCCTGCACCCCCAGGCCGCCAGAGCCTGCGGCTGGTGATGGAGTACCTGCCCAGTGGCTGTCTGCGCGACTTCCTGCAGCGGCACCGTGCTCGCCTGGACGCCAGCCGCCTGCTTCTCTACGCCTCGCAGATCTGCAAGGTGGGGGCTGCCTCGAGAGACTGCTGAGCGCCCTGGGACTGGCTGGGGATCTCAGTGAAGTCATGGGGAAGGCTGAGGGTTGAGGTTTGGGGCCCAGGACGGTCAAGGTGAGGTTCAGTTAGGTGTAAGCTCACAACCGGAGGGCAGAATGGTGTAGGGTTAGGCTTGAGATCTGGGGTGAGTTGGAGTCCGGGTTGGATTCCAGGTCAGGTTTGGGGATCAGTACGCCTGACCACCCCATCTATCCATTCTCAGGGTATGGAGTACCTGGGCTCCTGCCGCTGCGTGCACCGCGACCTAGCCGCACGGAACATCCTGGTGGAGAGCGAGACGCATGTCAAGATCGCCGACTTCGGTCTCGCCAAACTGCTACCCGTAGACAAGGACTACTACGTGGTCCGCGAGCCGGGCCAGAGTCCCATTTTCTGGTGGGACCCTTCTCCTCCTCACCCTTGGGCCCCTCCCCCGATTTACAGTCCCAGCCTAGGGCCTCCTCCCGATTACCCAGAGCCGGGCCCAGCGCTCACAGCCGGAGCCTCGCTCCTCACGCGCCCCCCACCCCCCACTGTCATCCAGCGCTGCCCCTTTTTTTCTGGGGTTCAGACTCACTCTGGCCCCAGCCACCTCTGTTCTCTGACCCTGCCGGGGCCCCTCCCAGACCCGCCAAAGGATTGGAGAACCGCCTCCCCTATTCACTGTGGGGGAAACTGAGACCCGGGCTGGATTGTCGTCTCACAGCCCCGGCGTCTCTGCCAGCTTCCCCAGCCCAAGACCTCCCCTTTCCCGTCCTCTGCCTCATCCAAGACCTCCTTGTCCCCCACCAGGTACGCCCCCGAGTCCCTCTCCGACAACATCTTCTCTCGCCAGTCCGACGTCTGGAGCTTTGGAGTCGTCCTGTATGAGCTCTTCACCTACAGTGACAAGAGCTGCAGCCCCTCAGCAGTGAGTCGGCACCCCTGGCTAGGCCCCCAGCTCCTTCCCTCCGTCTCCGGGCCAATTCGAGCTCTGGTGTCCCCTCCCCACGACCCCCCCTTTTTTGTTCAGAAACACCTTGTCCAGGCAACTTGGGTCCCAGATAGGAGAAAATCTCTTGTCAGTGGCTAACGCCCTATCACGGGCAACCCCTCCCCCCTCGGGCACTGGGAGGGCCTCCCCACTTCATCACCTGCGCCCCCGCCCCCTCTGGTACCCATGCTCCGCCTTGGCCCCAGGAGTTCCTGAGGATGATGGGATGTGAGAGAGACGTCCCTGCCCTCTGCCGCCTCCTGGAGCTGCTGGCCGAGGGCCAGAGGCTGCCGGCCCCTCCTGCCTGCCCTGCTGAGGTGAGTCCTCGCCTCAGGTCCCCACTCTGTCAGTTTCCCCAGGAAATCTTGCGCAGAGGCTGAACTGTGAGGGTTCTGGCCGCTTCTCGGCTTTCTCCTGTTGGGCAAATCACAAACACTTGGCAATCTCAGTTTACCCACCTCTAAATGGGACTGAACCTGCCCTACCGGGTGGGTGGGGGAGGTCAGACACAGTTGGCGCTCTTGGTCTATCATCACCACTTTTGTGCAAGTATCTGACACATCATAAATTAATTTGTTCAGGCCCCAAGCACTTATTAAACACTGACTATACTGTACGCTGGTTTGCTTCCTGTGGCCTCAGAAGGCATCAGAACAGCTATTGCACTCTCCACCCAGTAATCAGTGGGCATTAACAGGAACATCCTGGTGGGATCAGTGCCACCAGATAATGGAGGAAAGGATGAGTGTGTGAGGATTTCTCAGGAAGGCTGATTGCCTGAAGGAGCTGGAGGAGCCCACCCCCAGGGAAAGCTGGGAGGAGGCATGTGCAGAGAAGAGAGGAGGGTACCCCCCCCCCACCGTGGGGATGAACTTGGTGCATTGAAATAACCAGGTGGGGGCACATTCGGTGGCTGCTTCAATGAGACAGGAGGTGATGGCGGGAGGTGGCCGAGGGAGGGAGGCAGGGGAGGATGAGATTTTGTTCTAAGAACCATGGAGAGCCATGGGAGCTTTGAGCATAGGAAGAAGCCTACTTATATTTTTGCAGCTTTAGACAGGAGTCATGTCCTTCCTAGGCTCGCACACACATCACACTGTTGTCTCCTGTCACCTTCTCAGGTTCATGAGCTCATGAAGTGGTGCTGGGCACCCAGCCCGCAGGACCGGCCGTCATTCAGCATGCTGGGTCCCCGGCTGGAGGCACTGTGGAGTGGAAACCAGGGGTAGCGCCCCGGGCGCAGGGCCTGAACCTTCCTTGCCTGTCTGCGGGAGAGCCACACTCACTGCCATTTTCGTTTCTCCCGCACAGACTTCTGGGTCTGGTCTTCGTGGACAGGGTCACCCTCAGCAGGGGCTGCCCTTCTTTGGGCCTTGTGCGTCGCCACCCCCTCCCCATGAGTGGGGCAAATGGTGTGTTTTTTGAGGGGCACCCATGGCTCCTAGAGCAGCAGCAGCTTGTGACCTTTGGTACTTGTAAAGATTCAAGACAGGTGCGCTTGAGGGAAGGAAAGCTATTCAGGGAGTGAACTGAGAGACCGAGTTTAAGCCTCACCCATCTTCCCATCCTCTCAGAGCCTGGCCCTGAGCTTCTGGTCTCTGTTCCTCTTCCTGGAGGCACCCGAGCTTGAGTGTAACTGTCCTATTTGGAAATCTGCTTTTGGTGAGGGGAGGCTATGTGTCTGTCTGAGATCTTGTGAGAAGCTGGGGTCCCAGCTTCAATGGGGCTGAAGTCTTGGTTTTCCCAACTGTATATGGGGCCCTTCTGTCTTCACCAGAGGATCTTATAAGAAATGACACAGGAAGGGCCCTCCCTGGTGGCGCAGGGAATTCAAGGGCCATACTGCAAGCTAGCCGCAGAAATGGCACAGGGGCCTGACAAGAGCTTGTCATGCACTTGAGGGAAGGAAAGCTGTTCTTGGCAGAGGGAACAGAGTGGTTGAGTGAGGAGGCTCAGAGTATGGAGGTTTAGAGGCCAGGTGTTGGATCCCACATTCTGCCACTTAAGTGCTGGGTAGGGAAATTGCTTCCCATCTCTGACTCCTGCAAGATGGATAGAGCAATAATGCCAGGATTTCCAGAGGCTCGTGAGAAGGTGTGTAGTGTAGACTAAGTCCTTACCGGTTCTCACCTGCTTGCAAGGTTTTTCTGCCACTTTTGCTTCCCTGGAAAACTCTGCAGCTCTCAAAACTCCAGCTATAGCCTCCCTACCCCCTTCCCTGGTGGCACCCACTACTCCCTGCCAACCTTAGGGCTGGGGTAGTGTCTGAGTGTCCTCCAGCCTGGAGGGACCTGTCAGGGGTGGGCACACAGGGAACTCTTGTTGTTGAATGAATAAAAGAGTTTGGTGAAAAGAGTGACTTGTGGCTGTAATTGCTGGATGGGGAGTTGGGGGGAGGTGAACCAGGGAGGAAATGATACAGAAGTGGGGGGTAGAGAACCCTTCTGGGGCTACCAAGAGAGCCTCAGGGCAGGTTGGGGAAGGGGGGGCCGTGGGGAGGGGCCCTGGCTGGTGCCAGGGAGGACAGGAACCCTCCCCCCAGGCCCAGCTGTTGACCTTGGCTCCATCCTGGATGAGCTAGTTACAGGCCCTTGGTGGGTGGAGAGAACAAGATGGTCTTGGCAGTGGTGGGGGTTTGGCGGGCAGAGGCAAGGTCAGGTTGGAGGCCTGTGGGGGAAGAGGCCCAACTTGGGAGGGGGGAGCCAGTTTCCTGTGTTTGTCAGGACTTCTGAAAAGATGGCGAGAGGTAGACACACACACGGGAAAGAGATCGAGAGCAACGGAGACAGCTGTCTGAGTCTGTCCTAGTCTTTCAAAGGTTGCGTGACTTAGGGAGGGATGGAGACCGCTCTGGACTCTTCACTGACTTGGGCTACCCTCCTCTCTTCTCTTTCCTCAGTTTTGCTCCTTGTTAAAACAAGAAAAAATGGGGGACCTCCCTAGTGGTCTAGGGGTTAAGTCTCCGCGCTATCACTGCCATGGCCAGAGTTTGAACTGGCCAGGGAACGACCCACATGGCCCGGCAGACCTCTCCTGACCCGCCCGTTGCTCCCCTCAGCAGTGTAATTGTCAGTCGGCCTGTTCTGCTCCCCGCTCTGTCTCTGGTGAATCTTCTCCACCCCAGCACTTCTGGCCTACACCCCAATTCTTCTACATACAAATAAATAAAATATTTTAAAAAACAAAAGCAAAAACAACAACAACAACAAAAAAACAACAGGAAAAGTGAGTATTGGGCTGGCACAGGTCAATGCTTTATTCCAGGCCGTCAGGCCCCCCTGACCAGTCCTGGAAACCCTGACATGGAGGAGGCAGAGCCGGCCAGGCAGCCCCGCAGCAGCGAGGCCATTAGGGCCCCTGGGCACTGCTCAGACTGCCTTGCTCTTGGACAAGTGCTGACCCTGCTGAGTCTCAGTTTCCTTATTTGCTCGGTGAGATGGACAATGCAATTCTGGGTAGCTTTGACCTCAGTTGGCCAGATGTTACCTCCTTCCACCCCCATGGATTATCCCTCAGTTCATCTACTTCAGCTCTTAAAATGGTTTAATGTAATAAAGTAAAGACCAGAACAATGAACAACTATAAACCAGACATGGTACAGGGTAGAAAGGGTAATGGGGTCAAAACTGGGGTGGGAAGAGGGCCTGGGACTGTGGCGATGACACACGGGTGGTAGTGGAAAGCCCACAGGAGTTACAACTGAGATGGGAAAATGTACAAAATGAAGAATGGTGTAAAAATAAATAATGGGAGAAAATAATGAAATACATTTTCCTAAACAGTTTTGTAAACCTTTGTAAAGGTTAAAATTCTTTAGTGTCAAAATTTATCTTTTCAACACAGTTGCAGGATATGTGAATGTTATATAAATTATGCAATTACATTAAATATTTGACCCAGTTCAAATTTAAAAAGAAGAGTAGAAAAAATGGTTTAGAAGGAAAAAAAAAAGGCTCCCCAGCCAGTGCTCCTGCTGGGGCGGTCACCCAGGGCCCTGACTCAGGGAAAGAGGCCCTGCCTTGCCCTTGCCCCTGACCTCCTTGGGCCATCCTTCAGAATGCTCTGTCCCTCTCCAAGGCCCCAGCTGGGGTGGACTGGGCGCCTTTTAAAGGGGTGGCAGCAGAGTCCGGGTGCCCTTCCACAGCCATGGACCCCCGCGTGCTCACCTGGGCGCTGATACTTGTGGGCCCTGCCCTGGCCCTCGCTCTGCTCCCCATACCTGCCCCGGAGGCTCCAGAGAAGCTGTGTGGCCATCACTTCGTGCGTGCTCTGGTGCGCTTGTGCGGTGGCCCGCGCTGGTCCTCTGAGGATCGGCGGCCTGTGGCTGGAGGTGACCGTGAGTAAAGTGAAGTGAGGGGGGCCTGCAGGACAGCATTCTGGGGTGCAGCAGCTGCAGGTGCATGAGGGGTTGCACACAAGCTCCCTAGGTCTCTCTGCTTGGCCAGAGTCAGTGAGAGGCAACAGAGGCAGAATTTTCCATCGGATCCTCTTTCTATTTATACTTTCAGTGCTTTGAACTTTATGCAGAAATGCATGAAATATTTGTTTAAAATATTGCATTAGGGCCCTCCCTGGTGGCGCAATGGGTTAGGATGCAGCACTGCAAACCAATTGCAGCCACTTCAGTGTGATCCACATGGCGCAGCAGACCTCTCCTGACCCGCCCGCTGCTCCCCTCAGCAGTGTACTTAGATCATTCTGCCTGTTCTGCTCCCCACTCTCTCTCCGGAGCAGCCTCTCACTCACTGCCAGTTCTATATGCAGAAATAAATAAATCTTAAAATAAAGAAAATAAAAAATAAAATATTGCATTAGAATGATTGATCTTAAGTGTTGAATTGTTTGGGCGCCTCCTTAATTGTGTGCCTGAGGACAGTGCTTCTTTCTCTCGCCCTCGTCCTGACCCAGGGACAGAGGCACTAACATATTTGTGTGTACACAAATATGTCACACACTTGTGAGTCCTGCATGGTGCATCTGTGAGCACATGGCAGTAGGAGCTGGCCGGGGGTTTGAGACATGTGACTGTGTGTTCACCGGGAGGCTCATGTGTGGTGGTGTGTGCCTGTGTCACAGCACATGCATGTGCGTATGTATATTGCCTGTGTGTTGGTGTGGTTGCTTACTTGAGTGTGGGTGTGAGCTGTGAGTGCCTGTACACAGTAGGCACTTAATAAGCATCTACTTTTTTTTTTAAGGTTTATTTATTTATGCCTATAGAACTGGGGCACAGGCCAGAAGTGCAAGAGCAGTGAGAGGCTTCACCAGAGACAGAGTGGGGAGCAGAACAGGCAGATCAATGAAGCACACTGCTGAGGGGACCAGTGGGTGGGTCAGGAGAGGTCTGCCGCGCCATGCAGGTCACCTCGGGGGCCGGGAATCCAATCTGCACTGAAGCAGCTGCTGCTAGCTTGCAGTGTTGCGCGTTAAGCGGTTGTGCCACCAGGGAGGGCCCAATAAGCATCTGCTTTCTGTTTGTATGTGTGATGACTGTTTGGTACCTTACTCAGCGTGTGTGCACACAGCATTGAGGGGCCCCCTACCCATGCTGAATTCTGCTCTGTCCCCAGGTGAGCTACTTCAGTGGCTGGAAGGACAACATCTCCTCCGTGGGCTGGCCGCTGATGGAGCACCTGCACTGATTCCTGCTCCCCCGCCCCCGCCCCAGGCCTCACACCACAGTCTTAGCCGCCGGCAGGTAGTTACCAGCAACCCTGCCCACCAGTGCTGCCTCCGTGGCTGCACCCGGCAGAAGCTACTGTCTCTCTGTCCCCACTGAACCTGCCTGGGCATGGCTTTGGGGAACCTGAGACCCAGAGGGGATTGGTCTATCAAGCCCCTGAGGCCCCACAGCAGCATAAAGCCAGATGTCTGGAGGGACATTGCTCATTACTTCCCTCCATGCCACTTGCCTTCTGTGGGGCCCACTAGGGGAAAAAAATGTACCCCAATGCCAGCTTGAAGGATCCTTGGTTTTATAGATGCTGGATCCCAGGGACCAAATGTCTTCAGCTCAGAGGCATCCCGGGCAACCCCCCACCCAGAATTTGTGATCACTCCTCAATAGTAAACCAATAAAGGTCCTGCAGAATCTGAAGCAGCATCTGTATTTTGTACAGAGAAAGGTAGAGCCCTGAGTCAAACTCTCCCCCACCCCCACCCCTGGCTGGTGGAAACAGCAACCCTTCTGGGAGCTTGAGAACTTTGTAAGGCAATGTGGGAAACTCAGGAAAGGACCTCCCGAGTTTGGTGGGAAATGCTCCAGGGCAGCATTTGAATCCAAGTCTCTGCCAAGGCTCATTTGCCGTCCTAATGTTATTAACATCTACTTGCTTAGTCCATGTATGGACAACTACACGGATATCTGAGCGAGTGGACTTCTACTGACCCAATTCTGGCTGCTCTGTTCACTTGTATCCTCCTTCATCCTGAGATGGGGGGGTCTATAGTATGACTCCCTGGCAAAAATGATCAATCATTTGTCTATGTGATCTGTTCCCAGGTGTACTCATCTCCTAAGGCTGCACTAACAAATTACCAGAAGCTGGGGGAAGGGGGAGAGAGCACAAAATAGTAGAAATTTATACCTTCACAGTTCTAGAAGCCAGAGTTAGAAACCAAGGCATCCACAGGGTTGGTTCTTTTTGAAAGACTCTAAGGGAGAATCTGCCCAGGCCTTTCGCCAAGTTTTTGGTGACTGTTGGCAATCCTAGCTCCGGCTTCATATCACCTAGTCCATTTCTCTCTGTGTTCACTGTGTCCTTACAAAGTTGTGCTCAGTGGGTTCAGAGCCTACCTTAACCCAGGGTGGTTTCACCTCCATCTTACCTAAATTGATGTGTAAAGACCCCATTGCTAAAGGCCCTACTCTGAGCTTCTGGGTAGAGATCCAGTTTTGTGGGACATGCTTCAGTGCAGCAGGGAAGAAGGACTTCCTCCAAGGGTGATGGGGAGCCACAGAGGTGTGTGATAGTTTCCCTACCGCATCCAGAATAGCCTCCTCTTGCCTGGATGCTGTCGCCTCCCTTTCCAACAGTTCCTACCGCAGCCACCAGGCTTCTTAAAACTTTGAAATCAATCATATCACTTCCATCCTCCAGCAGCACAAAATGCACCCATTCCCCCTTACTTCAGCCATGAGGCCCCATGGGGTGAGCTCCTGAGACCTGTACCCCCTCCTTCTGTAACTTCTTTACTTACCCAGCTCTTGTCCTGTCTTCTTTTTGTGGCTCCAATGCTCTCGGCTCTTTCTACCTCAGGACATTTGCACATGCTCTACCTATTATATAAGTGTCCTTCTCCTTTTCCTCGAGGCCATGTCCCCAGCTCCTGTGTCATTCCTGTGTCCTAAAACACTGTCCTCCTGCCATTGCTCATCCCCATGAGTCTGTGTTCTATCTGTTCATTTTAACTCTCCTTAAATCGCTTACCATTTCTGAGAATTTCCTATTTGAATGCACCCCTGACCCTACTATGGGGGTGGGAGGAGGAATAGAGGGGTGAGGCATGTAGCACCCAGTAAGGGCACAATATATACTTAAGAGGAGAAGGTGGGACAGAGACTAGCAGAGCTGCAGTGCCAGAGGAGGAGGCAAGACAGCTGGTGGCTGGGGCAGGGCTCAGCCAACTTGCTGGAGGTGGAGGCCATGTGAGCTCAGCATCCCTCCTGCCTGACGAAGGACAGTCCCATCAGGTGTGTTTCTCTTTGCTGAGCCTGCCATGAAGCTGGCAGTGAGACTCAGTGTGGGGGAAGAGGAGTTGAGGGCAATCAGAAGTCACGGAGGGTGTGTGAGCGGGGGCAGGAGGGGATCCGATCCGCCTGATGGAAACCTCAGCAGACTCCCCTTATCCATACCATAGGCTGTTTCTACTGGTGTGTATTTTGTACCGACAATGAGACTTTCAGGCATGAATGCAAAATCTTTGAGTTAAATCTTGCAAATTACTTTAAAAAAAAAAAAAGGCCTCTAGGTCTTCGTGAAATGTTTTATTCTCTGAGGATGCCAGTCCCACTCTGCCATGTTAGGTACCCTCACACCACCCCTATACCTGTGAGGCCCAAGTCCCAGACATCTGCCCGTGGATAGTGGGCCGGAGGTGGCGGGGGTGGGGGTGGGGTCAATGGGTTACTTGATGCTCCTGAACCTGACACACCCACAGTGTGGGAGCCAGTCCTGGATCAGAGACTCCAGTCACCCGAGAACCTGAATGTCCCCCTTCTCTAGGTTGCACAGTATATGTGTTGGCCTTGGGCCCAGTGAATCCCAGTACTGTTCTCTGTATTTTTAGGGAGCACAGGTATGAGGTCTGGGCCCTTCCAGACACCAGATACTGAGATCCCACAGCCCAAACTGGTGGCTGCCCAGGCCTCCTCTGCCCAACACTGGCACCACTGAGCACTTAGAAGCACAAGCAGGGAGCAGGGGGCAGTCTCGGTCTGTTCCCTCCCACCATCTGAGGGATAAAGTAGAATCCTTGCTTCAGGGGCTGGACAATATGTCTTACTTCATCTTCACGTGGACCCAGGACTTCCCATTTGGCCTTGAACCATGGCCAGAAGCCATTCATCATGAAACGACCATAGGTTCATTATCAAGAAGGGGTTGGGCACTGCGTGGAGTCGGCTTATGATCAAGGTCAGGGCTGGGAAGTGCGACCTCAGTTCAAACAGGCTCAATGCAGTGGCCACTGAAACCCTTGCAAAAGTGCTTCTGCCATCAGACGTTTTCTGGGCTCACTCTTGCTGACAAGATGCTGGGGGATATGCTGGGCCATGGTCTAAGTAGTACCTGGTAAGTTCTGAAGGATGTGTAGGAGTTTGCTAGTCAGATACTCGACACACCAAACTCTCCCTGGCACTCTCTTATGTAGAGGGAAAAGTCTGTTTCCCAGGAGGAAGAGGCTGCCTTTCTTATGGGGGTAGAGACAGCAGCCTAGGGGCAGGACCCCTGACCCACCTCAATGCAGCTGCGTCAGCTTGCCACAGGTCAGGCCAGGCTGGCTCAGCGCGTCCCACATGAGCAGCATCTCATAGGGCAAGAAGCGGTGCACCAGCAGCAGGTCTCGGTAGTAGCAGGGGTTGAAGGAAGACAGACGTTTTGAGGGGACATGTACCCCCACTGTGAGGATGCCACTGTGGGAGGCAGGCTTCAGGCCCTCACGCTGCAGGCACATGCCCAGGAAGACATCATCAATAGGGAAGAGGTCCAGAGTGCTAGAGGCTCGGTATATGGCAGAGACAGTGAAGTGGGACAGCAGAAAGCCACCCCCGCCACAATACGGCGGGTACTGTTCTTCTGGTGTCACAATCTTCGGTACATAGTACTTGCTCCCGGGATTCCGGATGGGGCCCACATGGTCGATCAACTGCCCCACAAAGAGGTGGCGGTGAGGGTCATGGTTCTGCAGGTAAGTGACCATGTTGTCTGTGTGTGCGAAAACGTCATCATCACCATTGAGTAAGAAGCTGGCTTGAGCGCACCGAGTGGCCTGCCACTGTAGGAACAGGACCTGTGGATGAGGTGAGCAGGCAGAAGGGCTTGAGGGCTGGGGTCACTGGCCGTGGTCCCTGTTGATTAAACCAGCCCAGCGAGTCCCAGCAAGGACGGGTCCTCCAGGCAGGTCAGCCTAGCCTCAGTTCCCAGCCTGCTGGCCCGCATCAGCAACAGCTGCACATCTGTTTCCAACTTCCGAACCAGACCTCGGAGTTCATGCCTCCAAAGGGGATCTGGGATCGAATTGGAAATCAGATAACTTATTGTTATTCCTTTGATTCTGTTAGCTGTAATTCACATCTATACACCCCACCCCCCCCACACACACACACATCAGGGTGGGGGATCTGTTGCTCCTACTGGTGCTGTCTCCCCAATATTCAGTGTGGGACCAGTGCTTCACAAGCACAAGAATCATGTGTGTCAAATGGATGTTCACTTTTGTGTTCTTGCTCTAAGACTAAAGCATGTTGAGCAGTTCTGGCCTTTTCCATAATAACCTTTGCTGCATGCCAGGTACCGTGCTGAACACTCTCCTGCCCTGAACCCTTAATGCAACCATAGGAGACAGGTTGGAGAACCTCATTTGCAGATGAGGAAGTAGAGGCTCATGGCAAGGAGAGGATGTCTTCAACAAGGTCACACAACAGAAAATAGCGCTGGAGGTGTTAAACCCAGAGCTGTCTCTCGCAGGCTGAATAGGACACCCATTAGACTCCTTTCACAGAAAGTCTCCACTCAGCCTTCTCCACCCCATCAGGTGTGTCTCTGGAGCCTCTAATTCTTCCTCAGTGTATGACAGATTCTCTCTACCCCTTCTCCAAAACTCAGGGGGACACACAACCAGAATAAAAAGAAATGTGTCCCTCCCTCTCCCATTGCTAGTGTTAACTGGAGGCCAGACTGTTAGGAGTGACCAAAGATGTACTGACAAGGACTGAATTAAGACGGTACAGAATTGAGCCTTGCATCCAAGCTTGATAAGGTGGTAATAAACTGACCTTGTATCCAGGATGGGACTAGCTGAAGGTGATAAAGAACTGGGCTTCACATCCAAGTTTGATAATTAACTGAGCCCAGCATCCAGGAGATACATGTGGGAGGAGCTGGGCCTAGCATCAGGGGGCACAGTGATGAGTCACCCCGTTGGAATGTGAACCTAGAATCTATATAAGAGACCCTTCCCCCCTTATTGAGCTGGCAGTAGCTGTGGACCCCACCTAGGGGCTCCGTCTCAGCTGCTGTCTGGGAGCAATAAACTGCTTGCTCAGCCTTTCTGCCTCCCGCCTTTCTTTCTTGCAGACGGTCACAGAAGTTGGGACAAAACAAATTGGTGCCGAAACCCGGGACGGCTGAGTAGAGCCGTCCTCTGAAACTCTTCTGTGACCTGCTTCTTTTCTCCTCTCTTTCCTTCTCTCTCTGGAGTGTGCCTGTGGACGTGTGAGTGAATAAACAGCTCTTACCCCGGTCCTAGCATACCGGCTCGGGCTTGACTGGGGCTGTATCCTTGTCCTTGAGACCCGAACGCCTTAGTGGAGACTTGGCCAATAGCTGTAGGCTTGGCCAACCAGGCGTGGGGCTTATACGCGCTCCTATGCCAAGGATCTCTTTAGATTCCGCAAGGAGTCAGGTGGGAACAGTCAATTTGAATGTACCCTGATCCCCAAGACCTCCTGGCCTCCCTCTTTGTTACAATCTTTCTGTTGATCTTGGCGTTTTGCTCCTCTTGGCATCACCTCTGTGGTGCCAAAAATACCACGTGATTACATCGAAGGAACAAGGTTAGGGTAAGTCACCCCGATTCTGGCTCAAGAACACCCTTGACTCCCCCTCTTTTTTTTCTCCTTTTTTTTCACACCTCTTAGTGTGGTCCCTCCCAGGGCGTTTTTTTTTTTTTTCCCTCCCAGGGCATAGCTTGTCCAATTTGTCCCTCCCAGGGCATATTTTGGCTTATTTGTCCTTCCTAGGACACACTGGCTCTTAAGTCGTTCTTTTTTTCTCTCTACTTTTCTCTTCCTCGCTACCTAGTAGATAATTCTTCAGCCAAGACAGGTGACCTCCAATGTGTCCTCTGTCATTAGGATACTTTGGGTCTTAGACAGGAAGGCCTCAAGCAGAAAAAAAAACTTGTCCATTTCTGCAATGTGGTATGGCCTCAATATAAGTTAGATAACATCAGTGGTGGCCAGAAGGAGAAACACTCGACTACTCAATCCTTATCTTCCTTACCTTCAGGTTTTCTTTTTCCTTGCTCCTAAAACTCTACAGCATCCAAGCTTTCTTCCTCCTGTACTCCCCCCTCTTCTTCTTAACTCAGGTCGTGCTTTTCATGTTCTTCCAGGCCTCTTTCTTTTGTGCTCCTATTCCTCTGTCTCTCAATCTTGTTACACTGCCCAGGTCTCCCAAATGTCCCCAGCCTGGCTGATGGGTATGGGACTGCCCATTGTTCTCAGTGAGCAGCTACCTTTGCTCCAGGGCTGAGATCATTGGTATGTCCACCCCCACCCAGCCAGGGGAACTGGTACTTTTTTCCTTGAAATAGTCTTCTGTTCTATTCCAAAATCTAACTTTGCTGTGTTTTCCACTTCTGATACAGTAAATGGACTCTCAGATAAGCATTTGCGGATTTGCCTCCTTTGACAAATTTATGATGTAATTGGTTTTCCCAGAGTTCTTAATTGGTGTGACTGTGGGTTTACTTTTTTTCCTCTCCTTCCTGTGCAGTTTCTCTTTTCTTGATAGGTTTAGGGTCAGGGAAAGGAATCCCAAACAAAAGCAGTGAGAAAGCTCACCTGTGACTCCTCTTCCTCCCTGTGCTGCCTGCCCCCTGCCTCCTCCCCATTACTCTTGCTGATTCCCCATTTTTGTTTGTCTTTGTGTAAATAAAGGCTGGTGCCCACTGACCTCCATCCCAGCACTAACTTTTATTCCTCCCCCCCACCTTGCAGACACTGGCTCACCTCCCCTTTTCTTTGTTGAACATGGTATCAATAGCCCTGTAACTTACCAAAGAGGAGGACGGTGGCTTTCGGACATGAGTCTGCTGCCCTCATTTGTCGACAAATAAAACCACTTTCCTTTTCCTCAAACTCTGTTTCCTTTTATTGGCTGAGGGAAACTGAGACCGGCGTTAGGTAACAGGACCAGTCCTGCAGCTGCCAGCCTGCTGCCTTGACGACAATGGCGAGGTCCCCTGGACAATGAAGCCTCCTGGACTACGAGTGATGGAGCCAAAGGATGACGCCGGCTCCCCAACTGACTATCTCCATGGCTGAGCCTAAGGTAACTCTGGATATCACAGGTAAATATTAATTTTCTTCTTGATCTGGGAGCCACTTACTCTATACTCACCCACCCTTTCTTCACAAATGTAATAGGAGTAGATGAAAAAAAAACCATAAAGTACCACCTATGTTCAGCCCAGCACCCTCCTTCAGCATGTGATGACCCTCTCCCTGATGAAGTCTCTTTCCAGAAAAACTGGTCTACTTGTCTTTGCCTCTTGGAAAAGGGATACTCTTCTCCCAGTAAATGCCTTGATTTCTTTAGATAAAGTCCGTCATGACTCAAACGTTGAGTAAAGTGAGCTGAGTGTTTAATAAGAAAGAAATATGTTGGAGATAGTAGTTTGAAGGTCTTAAAAAGAAAGATAGAAGGAAAAAAGTGTTGAAGGCCAAGAAGGTAAAAGAAAGTGTTGAAGTTCTTTGAAGCTTTTAAAGATAGAAAGTGTTGAAGGTCTGAGAGCAGTGAAAATGTTATGTGCTAGAATGACTTGGTAGGCTTAATAACAGTAATTATGTAAAACCAAACTTTAATTTCTCTTTCATCTATAGTAACTCAAATATTCTTAAACTTATTAGTAACTCAAATATTCCAAACTTACCACGTTTGAAAATTTGAGTCTTGTGGACCTGCTCTTAAGCCCCACCCAAACCCTGGAACTTGGAGACCTCTGACTCCAAAGGACCTCCTTGTAATTTGAGTCCCACCAAGACTGAATTCTATTCCTTTTTGTCCTACTTTTACTTTTCTCTGTAAACCTTCTCTTCTGACCCCTCCCAAGATACAAATTCCAGGTTGCACACAAGGACCAAACTGTGTCTTTCTGACTTTGATGCCTGCACTGCCATCCAGTCCAGCTCATCTCTCTTTGGGCCTGATGGACTCATGCGGCAGCCTTTCTTGGGAATGGACCTACACCAGCTCGGGACAGGTGGGACAAAATGTGGCAAAGCTACACCAGTTGGCCAAAAACTGTTGGGAGAGACCAAGTGTGGAGATTTACTGAGGGACTGGATAAGAGCAGTAATAAATTAGGCCTTGCATCCAAGGGTGATAAGGTGGTAATAAACTGGGCCTTACATCCAATTAATGGGGCCTTGCATCTGGGATGGGACTAGAAGAAGGTGATAATGAACTGGGCCTTACTTCAAGGGACAGTGATGAGTCACCCTTTTGGAATTTGAGTTTAGAATCTACATAAGAGACCCTTCCCGCCTATAATATAGGCTGACAGTAGCTGCGGACCCCACCCTAGGGGCTCCGTCTCAGCTGCTGTCTGGGAGCAATAAACTGCTTGCTCAGCCTTTCTGCCTCCCGCCTTCCTTTCTTGTGGCCGATCACAGAAGTTGGGACAAAACAAAAACATCAGAGAATCCAACACCAAAAGAGATGTCTCTGGGATGGCTGCAACAACTTTTTTTTTTTAATCATGGCTAGCCCTTTTACTAGGCCCAGTGCAGGCTCTAACCAAAGTCGCAGTAAATCAGCTCCTGTTACACCCCATGATCCCCTATATCCCTTTGCAGGAAGTCCACGACTGTCCCTAAGTCACACAGGAAGTAGTCATGGAGAAACCAGTCCCATTTCCTAATAACTAAAGAAAAAGTAGGGAATGTTGGGAGTGACCAAAGATGTACTGACAAGGACTGAATTAGGGTGGTAAAGAATTGAGCCTTGCCCCCAAGCTTGATAAGGTGGTAGTAAACTGACCTTGTATCCGGAATGGGACTAGCTGAAGGTGATAATGAACTGGGCCTCACATCCAAGTGTGATAATTAACTGGGCCTAGCATCAGGGGCACAGCGATGAGTCACCCCGTTGGAATGTGAACCTAGAATCTATGAGAGACCCTTCTCCCCCTTATTGAGTTGGCAGTAGCTGTGGACCCCACCTAGGGGCTCTGTCTCAGCTGCTGTCTGGGAGCAATAAACTCTGCTTGCTCAGCCTTTCTGCCTCCCGTCTTTCTTTCTTGTGGCCGGTCACAGAAGTTGGGACAAAACACATACATTGCCTTATAAACATCTCATGTAAGCCTCACGGCAGCCTTGAGAAGGGGGGCTCCACCTACTATTCCATCTCTCTAATGTGGAAACTGAGGCACACAGAGGCAGACAGTCACTAAGGGCAGAACCCTGTCTGCAACCTGGGCCACTCTGCCCTTCCTTCCCACCTGTCTTAGGGGGGCACCCATGAGGGCTTCCCCTGCGCCCCCCCCAGGGGGTGGTGGAAATTTGGGCAGGAAGGGCAGGCGCCCCAATTAGGTGATCCCTGGCTCACCTGCTTCAGCGTGAGGTTGAAGAAGGAGTCGTGGAAGTCCCACTGCAAGATGTCCCCGTGTGTCCGCGCCTCTATCTCCAGCAGTCGGTTGACCTTGAGGGCCTCCAGCGGGTTGGGGTCGGTGCCCACCAGGAAGAGGAGGCGCAGCTGCAGGCCGTGCACAGCTCGCTCGCGGCCCCAAGTGCGCCGCACCAGCTCCCGCCTTTCGTAATTGTGGGGTGAGGTCTTGATTGCCAGCAGCAGGAACACTGGCTGTGCGCACTTGTCGGGTGGGGCGTCCTGCAGCAGCGGGAAGTCACGGCAGTGCCGGTACAGCAGGAAGTCCCGCACTTGCTGCGGTTGTTTGCCAAAGTCAGGCAGGGTAGCCATTGAACCATTGGCCTGGCAGGGGACAGGTGGCGGGCCGGTGGGCACAGCCTGCAAGGCCAGAGTCGTGGGGGTGCCCAGTGGCTCCTTTGGGACCTGGCAGCTGGGTGGTGCGTTGTACAAAAGGTGGAAGAGAAGGAGGAAGGTAATGCTGCACAGGGCCAGAGACAGGCCCACCTCTGTCTTCCGGGGCCGGTAACACCTCATGCTGGTCAGCTAGGGGAGACCCCTGGGCGGCTCCTGCAGAAAATAATACTCCCTGAAAATCCTGATGGGAACCAAGCATTCTGGGGGGCTATTTATGGACAACAGCACCTGGTTGCAACCTTCCAGTTGCTCAAGTTGGTAGAATATTTAAAGTCACCCCCACTTATCCTGTGTTGCCCATCTCTTTCAGCGCCCCCTGCCCATGGTTGGTGTTGACAGTTGCTCAGGTCCTGCTGGGGATTAAGTATTTACAGAAAAAAGGGAGGCAAAAAGATAGCAAGTGCCCAAGACTGGGTATGTCCAGAATCCCCTCACCCAGCCTGGCATCTCCTGCTTCTGAGATGACTAATGAGTCTCCCCCAGCAAGGCAGAAACTTCCTTTTCATCATTTAAGAAGTCTGGGGTTCTTGCTTCCCTTTCTACCTGACTCACAAGAACACTCTAAGCTTCTGGAATTTTAATTCAACCATCACCTGTTGTTGACTACTTTTAAATATCTGCTGATCTGAGCATGGCTGCAGGTTCCTCCTTAATGCCACAGGTCCAACACGTCTCAAACAAAACAACCTTCCTTGGAAAAATCCAATCCCTCCTTTAAAGCCCATCTTAATCTTTCAAATAGAAAGCCCTCTTTGATATCTCAGGAAGAATTCTGGTTCCCCATTTGGTACCTCTAGTTCTGTCTTCCTTTTTAGCTCAGTCATAGCTCCATGGGAGTGTCTGTGTCTGACTTTTGTCTTCAAGACTGGAGGCTTTTTTAGGGTTCTGGCACCACCCATTATGATGATGACACAAAGGGGAAACAGGGCGGTTTGAATGAGTGAATGTATGAATAAAAGTAAACTCACTAGGGGCCTTCCCTGGTGGCACAGTGGGTTGGGACACAGAACTGCAAGCCAGCCATGGCTGCTCCAGTGAGAATTCAATCCCCAACCCCAGAGGTGACCTGCGTGGCAGACTCTGCTGACCTTCCTGCTGCTCCCCTCAACAGTGTATTTTGTCGATCTGCCTATTCTGCTCCCCACTCTGTCTCTGGTGAATCCACTCACCTCCTTGTACCTCTGGCCTGTACCCAGTTTCTGTATGCATAAATAAATAAATCTTAAAAAAAAGACTACTTCTTAAAAAAAAAAAAAGTAAACTCATTATGTTTCTCTGGCAAACTCTTACTCATTCTTCAAAGCCCCAGCTCTAATGTCCCCTTCTCTTGGAAACTTACCCATGTCCAGACAAAGCCCTTGATCTCCCTTCCAGAACCCTTTCTCTAGCTTTCCTGAACTTCTTCAATGTTATTTTTTCAGAAAGGTGATATTTGTGCTGTTTTCCAGCCCTAAATTTGAGGATGCATTTTTCAGAGCAGCATGAAAATGTTAGATTAGACCCAAGGCAGAACCTACCTCAGAGAATTATAGAATATCCAGCACTCATGAGCACAGTTACTGTAGCTCAAAACTTGGGTTTAAAGTCTAACTCTACCATTCCCTGGATGTAGGCGCCTCATACTGTGGACTTACCTATAAAAGGGGAATCTGGGAAACCCCCAATTACAAAGCTGTGCAGATATGAAGGGAATACTCAGCACCTAGCATGTAGTGGGCACTAAGCAATTATTTGTTGGATGAATATGTGAATGTCAGCATGTACCTCAGCTGCTTCCGTGTATCTGTATTAGTCTAGAGTCTCTTGGATTCCCCCACTGGCCCCTGAACTGTATGGAGCAGTCATTGGGTTCTGTTAGGCCCTTTTAGCCCCTACTGATCCAACCCAGGTATTATCTGGGAACCAGAAAGAGAACTTTCTATTTCTTTTTTTTTCTTTTTAGAGATTTTTTTCACTTATGCATATAGAAATGGGGTACAGCCAGATGTCAGGGGTGGTGGTGACAGGATTCACTAGAACGAGAGTAGGGAGCAGAACAGGCAGTGGGGAGCAGCGGGGTGAGACATGAGAGGTCTGCTGCACCATGTGGGTCACCTCCCTGGCCAGGGATCAAACTCACACTGAAGCTGCCACCGCTAGGCTTAGCTCTGCAGTGTAGCTCTCCAACCCACTGAGCCACCAGGGAGGGCCCCAAGAACTTTCTATTTCTTTTTTTTTTTAAGATTTATTTATTTATGCATACAGAACTGGGGTACAGATCAGAGGTGCAGGAGCCCTGAGAGACTTCACTAGAGACAGAGTGGGGAGCAGAACAGGCTGACAAGTACACTGCTGAGGGGAGCAGCGGGCAGGTCAGGAGAGGTCTGCAGTGACGTGTGGGTCACCTCCAGGGCGGGGATTGAACTCATGCTGAAGTGCCTTTCCCTTCTTAGTGCTGTGTTTTAACCCGCTGCGCCACCGAAGGGCCCTCTATTTCTAATCAATACAAATTAAGGTGGACCCCTCTTCACAGGTTTTGTTGTGTGACATTAGCAAAGAAGTTTGATCTTTCTGAGCTTAAATCTAAAATGGGAGGAATTAACCCTTTGAGTCTTGCTGTGGCAATTTTAACTCAAACTTGCAGGAGTTCTGTATGATTATTCCCTCTGCCTGGATCCCCAGATTTCTACACAGCTACTTCCCTCACACCTTCTTTGTCCTGAGAAAGGAGGGGGTCAGGTTGACATTGGTAGCAAGCCCCCACCATGTTCTACTGTTCTTTCACAATACTCTTCATCTCCAAAATATATAACATTTTGTAAACGTATAGTTTCTTATTCATCTTTCCCAGCAGAAAGTGAGTTCTGTGCTATCTGCTTGTTTACTACTTTCTCCCCAGCCCCTGAAACTGCTTGGTGCTCAATAAATGTATTGAGAGGATGATGCATATTTGGTCGCTACAAATTCTGAAAAAATATTGACCCTTAGAATTACTTCATGCATTTATAAATTAAACCAACACTGATTGGGCTTCTGTGCACCAGGCATTTCTGGGAGCCGGGGACTCATGGTACAGGTGTAGGAGATCAGAATGTCTCTACCACTAAGAAACTCACACTTTGGAGGGGCAACGAACATTAAATAAAAACCTCAGCAAACTGATACAAGGTGACGAGAACCCAGGAGGAAATGGCGTTTGGTGGCAGGTGTGGGCTTTGAATTCTGGATGACACTTAAGCTGGGAAGTAAGTGGCATGGAAGGGCAGGCAGGGGGTGCAGGGGGTGGGGGTGAGGGGTAGGGGGGAAGGTTTCCCAGGGAAAGAAAGGGAATGAACAAAGGCCCTGAGGCAGGAATGAGCTAGAGGTTCTTGAGCAGATGCAACTTCCTGCCTGTAGGTGGGAGGCACAGAGCCTGGCAATGTCCAGGTTTGGCTGCCAGCCCTGGGGTGTAGCTTCTGAAGAGCAGGTCTGGGAAACCCAAAGAGGCCCAAAAAACCTCTGGATGAGACTGTGAGCATATGAAATGGACACAAGAAAGAAGAGATATTTGGCCCTTCCTGGTGGCGCAACAGGTTAGGATGCAGGACTGCAAGCTGCCTGCAGCCGTGTCAGGGTGAGTTCGATCCTGGGCCCCAGAGGTGACCCACATAGCGAGGCAGACCTCTCCTGACCAGACTGCTGCTCCCCTCAGCAGTGTAATTTGTCGATCTGCCTGTTCTGCTCCCCACTCTGTCTCTGGTGAAACCTCTCACTGCCCCTGCTCCTCTGGCCTGTACCCCAGTTCTGAATAAAAAAAAAAAGATATTTTCCTGAGCTGAAGAGAGGCTGTGTCCAGGATGGATGACAAGCACTAGATTCCAGAGCTCTGCCAACTTTCAGACTTTAAAATCAAAACCAGGAGGTTTTAGGTAGGGGCGATTCTGCTCCAGGGGATGCTTGGCAATGTCCAGAGGCACAATTGGCTGTCATGAGTTGGGCATGGTGGCAATGCTGCTCTGCTAATGGCATCAAGTACGGGGAGAGCTGGGATGCTGCTTAAATTAACATCCTGAGGAACAGGAGGGGCTCCTCACAGACAACAATCCAGCCCCAAATGTCAACATTGTCAAGGTTAAGGAATCTTGGGCTAAACCAACAAAGAAACCAGAACAGGGAAGTTAAAATGAGAGACCAGGATGTGACAGAAGAAACTTGATAGAGTTTTATGTAAATTCATCATATGTAGTTAACTATGAGATTTATTAAAATCCAGCCTAACCAGTTATAGATCAGTTCCCTAGGAATGTATTTTTAAAGCTCCAAACAAGGCCATGAAAGCAAAAGCAAATATAGACAATTGGAACTCAGCCAAACATGGGCTTTGAGGAAGGCAAGAAAAGGAGAAAACAAACAAATAGCTTGTTGAGTGGGGGGGTGAGGGGTGTCAAAAATAGAACTGTTAACAGGGTGGTCCCCAGGAAAAGGGGAGGTTCTAGTTCCCTACCCCACCTAAAGGAGGGTGGAGCTGAGCAGGGAGGAAAGGAATCTGGAGAGGAGACTGAGGAGGAAGGAAGCAGGATGGAGAGCCAGAGGTGACCTGAGGGAGGCACATGGAGCAGAGACATGTATCTTGGCCCTGGACTGGGTGAAACTGATGTGGGTGAGAGACCCGTGGGGAGGTTCACTATGTCAGCGTTTATCTTGATTTTGAATTTGTTTTTCCTCCCGGACTTGTCTGGCCATTGCTGTGGGCCAGACAAGGTGCTTTAAACCTGGCCACAAGGTGCTTTAAACCTGTGGTGGGCTTTTGGGCCATGCTTTGGGCCAACCCTTTTGGGTGGACTTATACCCACGAGGGGATGGGGAACATTGTGTGTTTGATTTAGAAACGATATTCTTTGTCTTTTGTGTATTGCACAGTGATTGTATTAAAGTTCCTTTCCATTAAAGGTCTTACATGCTTTGTCTTAGTGCAGCAGATGGCAGAACCTATTTAGAGGGGGCAGGTTTGGGGGTTTAGAGGTGCCCCTCTAACTGCCCTGTAACAGAACCTCTTGGGATGGCCATTTGGCTTTAATTAATTCCAGCAATGCCTCTTTCCTTGCATTTTTCTGTATTGTGTTTAAGAATTCTTTGCATATGAAACACAGCTTGCTGGCTAC